GTTTTTTCTTGTCAATTGGGAATAAAAGAATTATATATGTTGAAAAAATTTTTATTTGTCAATCAATATTTATTTATGTGATGGTGTAGAATTTTAATTGTGCTTTATTATTTTCACACTTGTTCTATTTCTGTATGCACATATAAATATTTATTTATTTTTTCGTCATAGATTATATTGAAATCGAATTTAAATCATTTATTTTATCTTTATTTTCAGCTTGTTAAAAAGTCCAACCATAAAACGGATGGAAATTCGATCTCCTCACATGCCATCGATGACTATCAAACAGGTCGCAACTCTACGGTATATACAAGTCAATTGATTCTTTTTTTAAACTATATATATATTTTTTATTTAGTTCGTATGATGGACCATATAAAGAGTCAGGTCATGATAATCGAATCGTTACTTCCACAAATAGCACACCTCAGACATTGTCACGTACTAGCTCAATTAAAAAACAACATGTTCATTGGCCTGATGGATCGACAAAACCTAAAGGTGATGATCTTCGTTCAATAAAAGATCGACAATTTACACCACGAAAACAACCATATCCTGGAGGAGAAATTTTCAATACTTCAATACTTACTGAATCTCCATCAAGTCATCGTCGTACTGCTGTTATTCCTGCACCATCTTCAGCACTTTCTCATCTTATTCAAACAGCTATTATTCCAGCTGGTTCGTCTGTTACGAACGCTGGTGCAAATCAACGATTAATGCCACCAAAACAACTGACACCTACTCATTTACCTAATTATACAAACATTGTATAGATAGTTTTTGTTCTAATTCGTTTGTATGATATATCTCTGTCGACTTTTTCTTTGCAGTATTTTTTGCACATTTTTATAGTGAACATGTTTTTTTTAATACATAATCATGTTGTTTTGCTCAATTTTAGTGATTTCTGTGTGTGTGTGTGTGTGTATGTTTTGTTTCGTGCAAGTGAAAAATATAATATAACTACTAACAAGTCAAACAAACATGTTTTCTATTGTTGTGACATTTCTT